TTACCAGTTCGAACTTGTAACAGTTCGATTCTGTCCGCGTTCTGTTCTGGTACGTGTGCGAAAAAAGGACTGTTCTGAATTGAATCTGTTCGATTTTAGGTCTGTTCGAATTTGAAAACGTTCGAATTCGTCGTACCCCCGTATTGGCGATGGGAATCTCTTATATCGATTAGTTTATCTAGCTATAGTTGTAATAAGATGTTATTTTGTTCAGATCTTCCAATATCGTTCATTTTCCCTTTCAGATTTTACAAAGTGAGCATTTTTCCAGTTTTCACAGAATGCTCTCACACAAGAAAAATTATGGCCGAAAGTTTAAAATATTTCGACGATATAACATAATAATTTTTCCCTTCAAAATTTCGATAGAAAACTTGAAAAAAATTCAACAAGGTTCTTGAAATTGGCATTATTTCGCATAACTTTGTTTTCGAAATGATTCGTGTTTCTCGGATTTTTTCCTTTGTTTATTTCGTAATAATCGGAAAACTTACCAACCAACCTTTATTCCACCTGAAAAATATATCATCCCGCTTATTCCGAAGTAAAACAGAAAAATCCTAATTTCAAGAAAAACCGGATTTTGTAACAAATTTTACCAATTTCTTTACTAAAAATAAGTTGTATTTCAGTTAGCCATAATTTTTAAATGGGAAAACAGTGAGAAGTTCTTTGAAAACAGGAAACATGATCAATATGATCGAAAAATTGATCAAGATCGGCGGTGAAAAAATTTGCTAAACAACGCGCACTAGCGTAATAGCGGAGTGTCGTTTTTGGGTTGTCGTTTTCATGGGAAAAGCGTGCATGCTATATGGATGCTATGTATATGGGTGCGCCCACCGGCGACCAGTCGTGCCCAGCGCCGACGCATATAGCGCGCACGCGCTACCCACAGAATTATTATGGGTGCACATAGCATCCTATATGCGCGTCTAGACATATACCATGCGCAGCCGTTACCCTGTGCTGGTGGTTTCTAGGCTATTTCAAAGTGATGGTCTAACTTTTGCAAATTGAGGTGTCTGGCCCATTAACTTTTATGGCCTAGAAATTGTCTAATTTTCATCGAGTGTTTTTTAGGCTCTTTCAAAATGATGACCTAATTTTCGCAAGTTGAGTTTTCTAGGCCACCAACCTTCATGACCTAGAAATGAACTAATTTTCGCATGGTGTGTTTTTAGGCTATTTAAAAAAAGTGGCTTAATTTTTGCTTGGTTGAGTTTTCTAGGCCACCAACTTTTTGGCCTGGAAATGACTGGATATTCATCTTGTGTGTTTTTCGGGAATTTCAACATGTTGGCCTAACTTTCGCAAGTTGAGCTTTCTAGGTCATTTTTCACAGTGGCCTAGTTTTCGCAAGTTGAGTTTCCTAGGCCATCAACTTTTATGGAACGAACATTCGAACCTTTGCAACGACTTTTTCTATAGGATGCAAGAAATTTTTATCGTTGTCTTGAACAACTTCTATGTACTGTTTCAAAATGTTCACAAAACTTTCACAATTCGAAATGTGATATTTCAGTTTCAACGTTTTTCAGCTCCACCAAAGCCTCCGACGAATGCATGAACTACTGGACAGCCCATGAACAGAAACAAGGAGCTCTCTCACCATCTGAAAACAATCAACGATTGGATCTATGTGCTAATGCTTCTGCTCAGTGAGCCCTTTACAATTTTCGAAAATCTTCAAACTTGTTTTTTTCAGAGGTTTCCAAGACGCCCATCCAATTGTCGAAATTCCAGGAGGCACCGGATGGTCAGACACTTCTTATGACCCACCGGTTTTCCTTCCGACCAGAGGATACTATGTGTCTTCTCGCCACGTCATCACAGATATGATTCTGATTCAGAAGAAGTACAATAAGGAAGATTGCGAAAGGAATAAGTGAGGGAATTCTAATGATTTTTCTGAATGCCAATTTTTTCAGTAAGGACATGATGTCGATGCTCGAAATGAATGAATTCAAAATTGTTAAGGCTACATTAATTGGAGAATGTAGAGATGAACCATATGGATTTTTGCTTCTGGAGACTGCCTGGCCAACTGATCACGCTTATGGGTGCATCAGTAAGGGATGCGTTGTTCGAATAGTTTAAGAAAATTATTTTTTAGGACACACCATACCGAACTGGCATGAAAATGAACGCATGGACAACGAACAAAATCATCGTATTTACCCTGGAATCTACGACACCGATCCAAACACCTATACCGGACAGTTTCGTCAGGTACTGAATATTTTTGAACCCATAAGTTTTGACTTTCACTCGGAAAGTCATCAGAACGTTCGAACCACTAAACTAGGTAAATTGGCGACCATCATAAATGGCCTACTAATAGACTGATATTGATTTTGTGTATTTTCTAGGATATTCACTATGGTGACCTAGAACTTGCAAAAGTTAGGCCGCAATGTTGACCTAGAAAACACACCAGTTTATGTTAGACCATTTCTGGATAATCAACACGATGGCCTAGAAAAATCATGTTGAGAAAATTAGGCAACTATGTTAAAATCATTCAAAACCACACCATGAGCATGTTAGACCGTTGCTGGACCATCATATTTTCAGCAAACAAGAAGCGGTTACTGCCATGAACAAACTGATCAGACCTTTTGCGCTGTTGCCTATTACACTCGTCGCGACCATTTCCGAGAGCCTGGATTGACACTGGATATGGAATGGAATACGCCTCGAAGAAAAACGAAAAACTGGATGTTGGCTGGAATCACAATTCAAACGACACCACAGGCAAATTCTCAACCCATATCAGTTGTTCTATCCATTCATGGGTTCCTGGATCAGATTTGTGCGGCAAGTGGGATTTGTAAAGAGTAAGGGAGCTTTTTGTTGTGTATCGCATAAAAAGTATTGTTACAGGAAAGCTGATGTACCCAGTGACGATACACCATTCAAGTCAAAGGAAGTCTCGGCACCTGAGGATTGTCTACCGATTCCATCCGATGGTCACGTCGTCTGGACACCAGATTCAACTTTGCCTCCAGGTTCTGAAGATTCGGAAACATCAGAAACAAGTCCCGGAATGGTCCCTCCGACATACGTCCCTGCACCAGTTTTTACAAAACCAACGGATTCCTCTGGAATGATTCCTCCGACATATGTTCCTGCACCAGTCTTCACAAAATCAACAAAGTCTGGATGTCTAAAGTGCTCTGGTAGTGTTGCACCGACTTATGTACCAGCCCCTGTTCGAGAGGGTCCATGGAGCATTCCGAAAATGACTGTACCCGCAGAAACTACGACTTTCGAGACTACGACCACTACGGAAGCTACAACGACTACTGAGGAAGCGACCACTACAACAGTAACAACTACGGAGCCAACCACAACGACATCAACTACTGTAGAGCCAGCAACCACAGCGAAATCCACAACTGTAGAGCCTACCACCACGTCTACAGTTCCGACCACGATTACTACATCGGACTCTTTGAATACTAGGATTCCCGGAGCTCCAGTATTCATGTCCACTAAAAAATCCACTTCACCTTCACTGCCAGAAACGTTTACATTTTCGAGTAGCATTGATGAAATTGCTCCTTCCTACACGTCAACACAAGCAACTTCTGATAAGGCCACGACAACTACAGGTTCCTGTTTCACACACATATCTAATTCAAAACGGAATATTTCAGGTACTCCTTTGTCACCTGTCACTGTTAAAACTTCTAGACCATGTCCGGCAGGTGAAAAACGTGAAAAATCACAATAAACACTTCGATTGTTCCGAAAAAACCCGGAAAAATTTCCATGTAAGAAAGGCGCTACGATGCCGTAGCCTAGGTTTCTCACTGCACGGGAATTCAAATCCTTTTTTCAACGCCGTTTTTCGGGGTTTTAGGATTTTTTTTAAATTTTTTCGCAATAATATTAGGAAAATACATATTTTTGAAACATTTTAATGCAATAAAAATTTTTGGTCGGAATCCCCCTTTAAACATAATTTTTAAATCAAAACGCAAGAAATGCCTCTATTCCTTTCAGATTTTCAGAAAATCAGAGAAAAGTCTGGAACTCCTCCTAATATCTATTGTTAAAAAACATATTTCAAAAGTTTGACCCGAATAGCCTGACTAAAAATTGGACTCTTGACCTCCGTGTCAACCAGAGTCATCATCCAAAAAAAAATTTCAAATCCCATACGTGGACCTCAAAACTCTTCTCCTTCAGTGTTCATCAGCTACACCTCCTTATTTCTATTTCAATCTGGTTTTTTTCCCTTCAAACTCTACAAAAAAGTGAGAAACAAAGTAAACAAGAATGATAAAAGGTGGAAGATCGAAACTCACAAGAAGACCATCTATGTAGGATTTTTCAAAATATTTTATAAAAAATATAAAGTAGCTTGAATTCCAGTCACAGTGCTGAGCTCGCTTCACCATCCGGAAGATCTGGAAGTTCGAGTCCATCTATTCCACAAAAAGGATTCAGAAGCAAGCCGGTTGTAAGAATTCAGAAATTGAATCTACCGTAATCCTTGAATAATATCTTCAGAGACTCCGAAAAGTGACATCCTGTGATAAAAACAATTTAAAATTGAGTGGAAAAGATAGGGTAGGAAAAAGAAGAAAAAATAAGAAGGGGAGCAGTGAGCATGAAAAAGAATAAACGCGAACATCAACGGAATTGATTCGAGAATCAGCAGAAAAAACAGCAGATGATGAGAATAGACCAAAGGAAGAAAAAAAACCGAATCCTTACGATCAGATTTTTGCATTGGAGACTAAATACAAAACGGATTATGAGGATATGAAAAAGGGGAAACACGACAAAAAGGAATTGAGACAATCACAGATCGGAAGCATTTTTGATCCGATTTCAGGTCCATCTGTTCCAGCTGTCAGTGGAGTTAATGGGGTGAAAAATAAAATGAAATGGAAGATCGATGTGGATCCAATAGGTTGTTTAGAAAAATTTGTCGATATCAGAAATAAAATTTAAAAAAATATTTCAGAACTGAATGGTGATCAAAAAATGCAAGAAGTACTCGAAAAACTGAAAGAACTACGAAAGAATTCCGGATTAAATCCGTGCAAAGTTCTCAAAGCCAACGAGCACATGATGTCGAATAGTGACGATGAGCCAACAGAAGAGTTGATTCATATGAGTGCTCGAATTCTTCAACTCGTCAAAATGGAAGCATTGATCTCGAAGGAAATCTCCAAAGAAGATCAAGAACTTTTGAAAGGTTACTGTAGATGTGGAGATCATAAGGACAAGACTGAGTCGATTTTTGAGACGATAACATGCTCGATTCTGGAGAAGGTGGCATCGAAAAATGAATTCATTCGACATGTTTCAATTCCAGGTCAATTGAGACTTTTTGCAGTTGACGAGAAAAGAGTCTGTTCATTTCTTTATTAAAAAATCCCAACAAATTTTTTCCAGTCAAAACTGCCAACGATGGCTTTGATGATTGTTCGAAAAGACTTGTTCTACTACGCATGGGACAAACAGGCGACACCAATGGACGATGAGCAATTGGATCAAACATGGAGCAGTATGACATTCAAAAGTTTCGTTGTTCGTCAAAGTGCTCCACTTCCACCACAGCCTGCTTTAATAAAAAGTGCTCATTTTCAACCATATTACTAAAAGTTGGGTTATTGGTGTGTTTGGTTTTTAAAATAAAAATGAAGATTGAATCTTTTTTGTGTCTGTTAATTTGAATGATATTGAGGGTGGTACCCGGGATGAGAATGAGAACGGGATGGGGATGAGAAGATTTTTTGTGTTTTTATTTTTTTTTAACTCTTGATTCTCAATGAAACTTTTTACTGATGAAAGAGTGGGAAATAGGTTACTTCTGTTATAAATTTCAGTGAGAATAATCAGGAACTGAGATGATTCCCTTCAACTTTCGAGCTGAGCAACTAGTAGTTATAATTCTGGGTGTGTTTCGAACAACAAAAAACGTAGAGATAGCAATAAAAATGCATATTTAATATCATATTCAGTAAACAATTTGAATGTTCACCAAGAAAAATGCAAAGAAAAACATGAAATTACAATCTATTCCCATCCACGTGCCAAACAACCATCGTAAAATGTCCGAACTCGCAACTTATCGTTGCTTCGACACCGTCCCATCTTTGGATACTGTAGTCTCCTTGGATTTCCTTGTAATCTTCTTCAGCACTAAAATATTATGAGAATTACAGTAATCCCAGATCAAAGTTTTCGATGTCCGTGTCCTCATTTTCGAAAAACAATTTTAAATATGCCATTCGAGGGGAACCACCGGCACGCCAGTGTCTTAAAAATGAGTTCAAATCTAATTCGGTTTCTAAAATTGTTTTTCGAAAATAGTGACACATTTGTCGAAAACTTTGATCGAGATTTGGAAATTGTTGAAACAAACGAAGTGAGAAGGTTTCGCGTAGTGTAAGTTACTATTCTTGGACTACTGTAATTCTCATAATTTTTTAGTGCTGAAGAAGATTACACTGAAATTCAAGGAGACTACAGTATCCAAAGATGGGACGGTGTCGAAGCAACGATAAGTTGTCAGTTCGGATATTTTACGATGGTTGTTTGGCACGTGGATGGGAATAGATTGTAATTTCATGTTTTTCTTTGCATTTTTCTTGTTAAACAATCGAAGTGTTTATTGAATCTGATAATAACTACATATGTATTTTTATCTCCTTGTTTTTTGTTGTCCAAAACTCCCCCAGAATTATAACTACATAGACTAACTACATAGAACATAGTTGCTCAGTTCGAAAGTTAAAAAGATAACTATCTCGGTTCCTGATTAATTAAAAAACAAGCATGTCTTAATTCCGTTTATATATGTTTCAAAATCTATGTTTAAAATCCCACGTTTTAATTCTCAATTTTAATTCCCAATTTTTCACTTTGATTTCACTTCTGATTTTCGATTCCAATTCTTCACTCTCAATTTTTTTACTTCGATGTTCCCATCCCAATTTTTCTCTCCCATTTTATAATCCATGTCAAAACTGACATATCTTGAACTCGAATAACTATAATACACTTTGCATAGTAAAATTTAATATTTCTCATATTTATTCTCAATAAAAGCATTTATTTGGTTACATGTTCGGCACTTGGTTTCGGTGGATTCTTGAACTCATTGATCTCCGTTTCCTCCCAATCATACGGAAACTCATTTCTTCCACTGGAAAGAATCGCATTCGTCAAAAGTCCATAGATCTCATTGTAGTTCGGAGTGTCGGTGAATGAGATGTTGTCGACCTGGAAAATAGAAAACATTGCTCAGTTTTTCGAATAAAGCTTCCATTCGGTCGGGCAATTTAGCCGACCGACCGACCAAATTTGTGCATTTGTTTGTTCGTCAACACGCCAGAGGGTGTTTGCGTACGCTGCATTTCTTGATTTTGTACGCAAACACTCTTTAGCATGTTGACGCGCAAAAGCAAGAAATCGGTTGGCTCGGTTGCCGATTTTCGATCGTTGCTTTATTTTTTTTTTTAGAAAAATGACCAGACCATGTGCATAATATTGACAAACTCTGGTGGAAGACCTCCAAGCATCTCACGCATATGAAGACCGTTGCGACACAATTTCTGATAGTCATGAACGTCTTTTGGCTTCTGAAAATGAATTTTTTGTTCGATGAATAATTGTTCCCTTTTCCAACCTTTAAATGAGCCCATGGAAGGCATCCCTTGACGAGCTCAACACTCAGATAAAACCACATTTCCAAATCTTCCATTCTCGAAAATTCAACTCGAGAGAAGGCGGCACGTGGCATATGACGAAGACTTCCAACATATTTCCATGGCTTCGATGATGGTGGTTTCAATGTTCCATCCTTGTTCGTGAACTGATGAGCGAATCCAAAATCGAGAATGTAGATCTGGAAAAGAATAAATTTTAGATTACTGAATTTTTTTGTTCCAACATTTCTCAGATCCGAATTATTATCACCAGTAAATCTTCCGATTGCAAAAACCGACGGTGCCACGTTGCGATGAATGAATCCGAGCTGAAAACTGTTGAACTGAAATTCTCCGAAAACTAAGTAAAAAACGTTACACGATGAAGTTCCTCGAGACCCTTCAGACATTGTTGGGATACACTCAAACCACATGCAACCGATAGTTTTCCACCTGGTTGACGTTTACGAAGAGTCTGAGCAATTTCGGGTTACTGTAGTTTTTATATGGACCCTACTCTCAAATTTTTTCCACACAGAGTGATAGCAATCCAATTGTAGTCTTTCTCATTTCCTTTTTCGAATAGCCTGAAATGCTCTACTTTGGTAAGATCCTTTAGAATTTTTCCCACTTGCAAAATTGTTTGCACTGATTCTTCTTTTCCACAGTCAACAAAACGAACAATTCGAACTGTAACATTTTGATTGGCTCCGTTTTCCGTTCCACCTGAAAATTTAATTCGGAAAGGTGAACCATGCGCATTAAAAATTCACGGTTATCTAAAAAGTTTTAAAAGTATTTGAAACGGTAAAAAAATTGTGTAAGGTACGGTGAAACGTTTTATTGCATCAAAATGAGCAGAAAACCATGAAGATTTACATGATAATAATTAAAAAAATGCCTTTACCGAGAAAAACCGGATCCAAAAACGAAGTTGGCTATTGAGGACGAGCTCGAGTTTTCTAGTCCCCCGCGGCCGTAGCCAACGCGCTAAAATTTAGTAATTGATTTTTCGAAATCTGAAAATATCTGAAAAGCACTGAAATTCCAGAAAAAAAAATTAAAGTAAGAAATTTTAGCGCGCTTGCCGCGGCTCATCTCAAAGAGTCAACCTTTTTTTTGGTGCGTTTTTCTCAATAAAGGGTTCTTTTGTGAACCTACACGATTTTCTGCACAGAAAAAATACAAAAATATTTCCCTCTTCTGTTTCAAATACTTTTTAAACTTTTTGCATAACGGGGAATTTCAATCAATCTCATATTCCGTCTGCGAGGTTCCGAAAACTAATATTTTTGAAAATCTTTCGATGTTGTCCCAAAAATTTGTTTTGATGATTATGATCTGTTTGTTTTTTCTTGAACCTCACTTTAACAGCCGCCAATTTCTTTTTGCGAATGTGCTCAGCCACATAAATCGTATTGAACCCCTTGTCTGACTCAATCGCTTTCACCACTTTCCAATTCTTTCCAATCTCTCCCTTGAAAATTCTAAGTACCAATTAAAACCTAACCACCCTGATTACCGGTTTCATCGCCTTCAAATCTCGCTGTCCACTCAGTTTCTCATCAAATTCCGGAAGTTGCGGACATTCTCGATCCGCGTCGGTGACGTTACGATCCTCCATTTTCTTCTGAGCCGAGAAATCGCTTTTCTTATTTTTCTATCTGTTGCGAAATACGAGATTTTTTGGTTTTAAAGTTTTTGGGAGACAATCCACATTGAGCCACGTCCCTCTTTTGAAAAACCAAGGAAAAAAGTCAGTCTTCAGTCAGTCCACGAATGAACGAGTGCGGCCACTGCTCCGTGAAGCTTGGCGAGGAGCCAGCACTTTTGGCAAATGGAAAAGTGAGACAAATGGAAGAACAGACATACAGATAGACATTTTCAGGTCTGGCATGTGAATCATCTGTTGTGTGATTTGTGCGAGTGTCGAATCAATGATGGCGAGAGGTAATTGGGGAAAAAGGTCTAAAAATTTTCAGGGACCAAATTTTTGCAGTCTACAAAAAAAAATTTAGTCATTAAAAAATGTTTAACCCCATCAAAAAATTTTCAGCACCAAATTTTTAGGGACCAAGATGTTTTTCAAGGACCACTTTTTTGAGGGCCTCATTTTTTTAAGTACCTAATTGTTTTAGGAACCGAACTTTTTTTTGGACTAGAATGTTTTAACGAACAAATTGTTAAGGACCAAAATTCCTTTAAAAAAAATTTTCAGATGCGTTCCACAAAACGGAATCATTTTGTGCTTCCAATGTCATATCAAAACGACTCGTCCAATATGCAAAGGTTTATTTTTCATGATTTTCGCTTAATGTCCAGAAAATTTTCACTGTTTTCAAGAACTTAAAAAAAAGGAACATTTTATCAAATTATTATTCTAAAACATCCACAATTTTTCAAATAATTCCAGGCTGCGGGGACTTCATCAAAACGAATGTGTGCGAGGCTCTCAACTCCACGTGGCATCCCACCTGCTTCCAGTGCTCTGTGTAATTCAGAATTCACTCGAATCATCCATCCAGAATAAACTATATTTCAGATGCCAAAAACCATTGGAAGTGAATTTCCATCAATTGCCAAACAAAATGTGCGTTCATTCGGAATGTTTTTGGGATCTTCAGCTGAGAATGGTCGTTTGCAAGGATCTTCCAAAATAGAGAAAAATGTGTGAAGCGTCGAGACTTGAAAAAAGCGGAAATCTTTTTTTTTGTTTTTTGATTAATAAAGTGTTTTTTTTCCGAACGACCAGTTGATGATTCTCAGTTATGCAAAAAGTTTAAGCAATATTTGAAACAGGAAAATTATTTTAAAGTGGTGTACAGTGAAATTGTTTATTGCTTTAATTTGTGTAGAAAATCATGTAGATTCACATAAAAAAAAGAAAGGAATTAAACCAAATATCCTTCATTGAGAGAAACTGCATCAAAAACGATATTTCGGAAGCTGGCTTTTAGGGACGAGCTTGAGTTTTCTAGAAAAAATGTTACTTGAATTTATTTTTCTCAATTTTCATTGTTTTTGCAGATTTTTTCAGGATTAAAGAGAAATGTTTTAAGATATTTTGGGAGAAAATGAACAAAATCCCTCGAAAAACCTTGAAAATCTAGGGAATAATGTTCAATTACGAAATTTTCCCATTTCTGATCAAGTCTTGTAGAGTACAGTGTAAACCCATCAATAATCCAACGTTATGCAAAAGTTTGAACATTATTTGAAACAGAAAATTTTTTAAATTTTTATTTTCATAGGAACAACATCAAAACTAGAATTATCAATTTTATCATCTTCGATTCTGCTGCTGACACCAAGTGTCCACGAGCCGACCAATTCCTTTCACTGTTGTATCCTTCTTCGCTATCTGGATTCTCCTCATACTCCTCATATTGTTCGGTTGTCCTTTTCTGAGTTACTCCTCCAGAATTCGTTACCCCTTCAGACGACGTCGGACCTCTCGGAAGATTTATTGTTGATGGTGTCACAGTGGTGGTTGGCTCGGTCGAAACACTTTCAGAACACACTCTTGTAAGTTCACAAATTCTTTTTTGGAGGCTTCGTATATCAGTGTGATAGGCGTTTCTAGCCTTATCATCGAACCCACCTAAAAAAGGTATTCAGAACATTCAGAACAAAAGTAAACTACAGTACTTGTTCCATCGATTCCAATCGCAATTGCTCCTCTGAGAGTTTCATTCTTGATCAGTGGTCCTCCACGATTTCCTTTTCTATACGTTTTTTCTACATTAATACTACCTTGATCGATTTCTTTTATCTGGAAACCTTTTTTGTAAATTTTCAACATTTTCTTGTAAATTATACCGTAGTCTTCGTATTAACAAATGTAACATCATTATTATCATGAGAAAATCCATATGAATATACTTTGTCGTTTTGTTGAATTATTGTTGTATCTGAAAAAAAAATCGTTGAATTATTTTAATTGAACGGTCGGTCGGTCGGATATATTTCTTGACCGAATGGAAGTCTGAATTTTGATCTCAAAAAAATAAACTTGCCATCTGCTAGGCATGGAAACTTGGCGTTATCTTGACTTTTCATCAATTCCAGCAACAATGGACTGTATTCAACTCCAAAATGTTCAGAACAAAAATCAAACAAGTAAGCTTCCTTTACTTCCAGATATTTGCAATTTGGATCTCTATAATCTGTACAATTACTCCAGAAAACTCGAAGTTCTCTTCGATATTTGTTTGGGACCTTTCTGAAATTATCTGGATTTTTCCCCAACTATAACCAAACTCTCACGTTGTCTCGTCACATGTATTCCGATCAGCCTTTTGGGAGTCGAGAAGCCATTTGACCGATTCTACAGTTTTATCGTCAATACTTCTAATTTTGGCTTCTAGCAAACATTGAGAAGAAGTGATCACATGTAATGGGGAAATGAAAAAACCAGCAGCTGTGAATTTAGATTCTCCTGAAAAAAAACTTTGGTTGCTGGCAGTTTAATTTTGCTCAAAATCTCACCAGAGGTTTGAACTCTAACCATAAAGCTATCATAGCCAAAAGATAATTGTTTATTTTTATCAGGTGATTCTAAATGGACTTTTTTAAGTTTCGAGAATTTTCAAGTCTCACCTAATTCAATTTTTCCACATTTCTCGAGACGTTGTTTGTTTTGATCAAAAGTTAAGTGACAGTTTGAATAACGTAAGAATAAGATTATTGTTATTATTTGAAATTTTAGAGAGAGTTCCATTTTTCAGGGAATCAATTGGAAATTTTTGAGGTCTATCGTGGATAGCTGAAAAGAAAAAATCCAAAAAAAAACTTCACGCAATAATTTCAATTTTTAGATCATATAATTTGCTGCTGTGATAGCTGAAACTGTGAGTGGAGCTGATTCACGGGGTTGCAAACGTGTACATGCATTCAAAATTTTCCCAGTTCTTTTGATCGCCTTGCGGCTTGCAACACGGCTAAAATTTGGCTTGGAATTTTGAATTTTCACTTGGAAAATATGATGACTTGGCACGGTGCCAACTCCTTGAACAACACATCGCATTTGTTGGAGGTTAAAACGTGCAACGCCGTGCTGATTGAAAACAATATAAAAGCAACAATTTATCACCAACAAATTCGGAAAAATGAGGTCATGAAAATGAATTAAAAAAATAAAAAGAAGTAGATAAATAAACACTCAAAGTTCGTCTTTTGACTCCGTCGGCAAAATTTGTGGACCTGCTTCAAACTTTTCGTCAGCTTCGTCGTTTTCCTGAAAAGATCCGTTTTCAAAATTATGTTTTCTAGAACTTCAAGGATTTTTTGGTTTCAGAATATGTTACAAGTGTGACCTAGGTTGTGAAATTTGAAACGATTAATCTGACATGGAAATTTAAAAGTTTCCGGTTTCAGTCAAATTGTAAAAAATAAAAAAGTTGTCAATAACTCGATTCGGTAGTTTCATCGAGAAAATATGACAAATTCTAGAATGGGACCAAGATTTCAAAATCTGAATTTTCCATACTTGTAAGTATAGGAGGGGCCGGCCCTCCTATTGTTCCAAGCAACCTCCGGTGGGCCCTTCTAGTTTGCTGGCCATTTTTTCCAAAATTTCTATCGAACAAAGCAGTGAATTCTCATGAAAAATTCAAGAAAATCTATCAATTTCACTAAAATTAAGCAAGTCTTTGAGCAAAAAAAAGTATCTTTCTACAAATTTTTGGCATTCACTGAAGTAAGAAAAAATTTTAATTTCGAGCAGCACATTTTTAAGTGGACTCTTCTATTACAGGGGGCTCTTCTATTAGAGGGGTTTTTCTATTAAAGGTTCCCTTTTCCCTTCTAATTCAGATTTTACGGTATCTTCTATATTTTATACTTTGAAACCTTTGTTTTCAACAACAAAGCTGAAAATTTTCCCGTTTCAGTCAAATAATAAATAGTGAAAAATATGTTTGAAACTATTAAAAATAACTTTAAAGGTGGGGGGACAGGAAAAAAAATAAATTTCTCGAAATTCCGTTTTTATACGCCCCTCGTGGAGTTGAACTTGTTGGGGCGAGGATTGAGAGTGCGGCGCCGCTACCGACTGAGCTACGCGGGCAAAGAAAAAGCAGCAGCCAGACTGCATACATCAAGGCGCGGACGACAGCTGTACGCAGAGTGACATTAAGCGTTGTACACCGTCACGGTAGAATACATACTCTGGCCCCGAAAATCCCCCGTAAAATCTCCTGTCCCCCCACCTTTAAAACACAAATTCTATCACAAACCTTATACGAAACAATTCCATCGTTATCAAAATCCAAAATCCATCCAATTCCTGGATCTCTCTTCCTTCCCTTCTCTTTCGTTTTGCTTTCATTCATCAATTTCTGATCTCTATCCATTGTCTTCAACCATTCCGATTCTGTTACATTTCCGTCTCCATTCACATCAAAGTACCTGAAAGATCCAAAGTTTTAATTTTAGATTTAAAAAATTAACAAACTTGATATAATAATTCGCTGCCGACACATTATCAATATCCTCGTTCTTCCATGTCTTTCCAAACTCTTTCTTCATTTTCTGCTGGAAATCTTGAACTTCTTGATTCGTCAATTTTCCATCTTCATTTAAGTCCAAAAATTTGAATTGACTCTCCGGAGAATACGATTTAATCTCGACCATTTCAATATTGAAAATCAGCCAGTTCTCGTCGTTTGGGATATTTTTCCAAACTTTGCTCTTGCTCTTCCGGCTCATTCTAAATGGTACACGGATTTTACGGAGCTCCTCGGCACACATTCCTTTCAGACCCTGAAAAAATAGATGTTTTAAAATCGCAAAAAAAATTCTGTAATAACATTTTCATAAAAGTTATATACATTATCACCTAAAATTTGAAAAAGGCTGCTCTGAAATTCGAATAATTTTTAACTTTCAAAATTAAACTCTCTTCGCCTGTTTCACAAACTCTTCATCAGTTTTTCCCTAATTATCCAATCAATCATTCTACTTCCTTGAACCAAAAAAAGTAGGTTACCAGTCTCAATAACCGTTCCTCTCTTCAGATTGAAGACACCGATAACCGGTTTCTTATTTTTATTAGTTTCTTCTCAAAACCCAAACCTTATCCAATCCGGGCATAATCATTCCAGTACCAAGTTGAATTGTCACTGGACCAGTTCCATATGTTTGGAAGACTTTTTTGTTGTCTTCTGTGAATACCTGCAAAACTTTGAATATGAAAAAAAAACACGATTAATGGTTACCTTATAATGGAAAGTGATAAAGTCGAGGCGTTTCGATTGAATTGGGCACTTGGCAGGGACGAAGGTTTTTTCGATCTGGAATTGAGAATGTTTATTGAAAGCACTATTGTGTCAGAAAAGTCATTGTGTTTGTTTTGTGAATCCAGGTGTGATTTAGTTGTCGGTGCTTTTTAGAACAAGTCGTTTTACCGTTTTTGCTCTAATAGAAGGCCACCCTATTATGTATAGTAATTTTATTGTGATATTTGAGAATCACCAAAATGAATGATCATCATAAACAAAAAAAATGCCTGAAACAGCAGTGTTTTTGTAGGCTATATACCGTATTTACCCTATTAGAAGTCCACTCAAACCGTCAATATCGAGATCAATTATCTCGATTCCAGTCAAAGATATCTAAAACTTGTCATCTGTTAAATTGTTTATCATAACATCAGAAATATTTTTTCATTTGACAGGTTTTTCATATTGCTCATAGGAATAGGGATAATTCAGATCAAAATGCATGTATAGAGTAGAAGTATGTATTATAGCAGATACGACATTACTCTACTCTGAAATTGATAAACATTGAGGCCGCAAATATATTCAAAGGCGCAAAATCAAATAAACTATATGTGCCTTCGAACGATTTTTCGTAGCAGTTTTGCCGATTTTTCTCAATTTCGACAGTTTTCGTAGGTTTCAAAAAATAAAATTTGCGAAAAATAGAATAGAAACCATGTAAACAATTAAAAAACCTATGAAAAACAATGAAAAGTAACTGGATTTTCAATCTCGTGAGGCATTAATTTCAGACAAAAAAATATAAGAAATCTTGAGAATATTTTCTGAATTTTCTTGCAATTCAGTTTTTTTTAAAACATTTATTAGAAGTTGGATTCGTGAGGGTTGCATTTTTTGATTTCAGATAAACACCTTTTTGACAACTGTATTGGGAAAATTCTAGAAATTCTATAAATTAGTTGAAACATTATTTTAACGAAATTCTCTGTTTCAAGTTGGATGTACAATAATTATTTTTCCGATGCTATTGATAGTTTCGGAACTCTTTTCATTAAGTTTGAACTGCCACATAAAATTTGAAGTTTCAGCAATGTGCAAGCAATGTGTATTACAGCGTCTATAAAACGAAAATTACCGTAAAAACTGTATTAGGAGGGTCTCCACTCTGTCGTTTGAGCTCAATTTTCTCAATTCCTCTGCAAGATATCAAAGATGTATCGACTGAAAAAAAAAACACTTCTAATATTTTGATAAACAATTCATCAGTTGATCAAATTTTCATATCTTTAGCAGAAATCGAGATAAACTGTATCAAAGTCGAAAGTTAGATCGCTTTTCTATTACAGGATTCCCCGTACAGAGTGGGGCAAAAGTTCTGCAACCCAAAGAAGACAACATAACTTCTCGGAAAACAGTCCGATCCTGGTCAAATTTGGACAGGACTTTATCAAAGAGATTTGTGACAAAATAATATCTTGATTTTTCGTTTCTGGTAGCTCTGTTTTTGATGACGGGGGTCCACTTTTTCAGGTATCGTCTATGGCGGCACGGGGGTGGTCTGCCGGCAAATTGCCCCGTACCGCGAGGAACCTACTTTTGAGACCTCCCAAAATTTTGTGAAAACAAACTTGAACATATGCTCGAAAACCCCCATCGGGTTGTGATCTGACAAGAGACAGGTCATCCTTTTTCGGGGATCTAATTTGAGAAATGGCTTGGCACTCCTGCTGAGCATGTTTTGCCGTCTCAGCAGGCGCTAAATCTTTTTAGGAAGTCTGAATTTTTTATCCCAAGTTAGATCATGAACTAGGCAGTATGATTTTTGCTAGAAGTAGTAATCTTGGTACACTTGTACACCTGACTCAACCAAAAACAGTGTTTTTCTCATTCGAAGTGATTTATTCGAAAGTCATGGTTCGCTGAGGGTTGGCTGCCCAGAGAATCAACAGACCATTACTGTTAGATAGCCAAGGACATTGTGCCTACACATGACAATTTTTAGAATTGAGCTTTGCCTCTAACAAAAAGTGAAGAGTGTCTCATCAATCAACGCGGTGGTCAAGCGCGTGTCAGAAGTTCAGAAAAAACACCAAAGGGGGCGTACAGAAAGTAGTGCCGTTTTCGTAAAAATTGAGGTAGGAACATCAAACTTTGTTCATTTACTAATGAAGAGCCTGGCAAAAATATGAACATAAAATAAATGCACGAAAAGTGTGTCAGCGGGCGCCAGCTTAAGTCAAACTTGGGTTGCAGAACTTTTGCCCCACCCTGTATGTTTTATTTTATTTTAGAATTTTAAAACTGTATCGAGAAAATTCTGGAATTTCTATAACTTTGTTGAAACAGTTTTTCAACGAAATTTTCTGTTTCAAACTGGACACAAAGCAATTATGTTCCCAATGCTGAGTAGTTGATTGTAACTATATGGAACACTTTTTATACTGTTTCAACTGTTACATAAATTATCAAACATTTCAGTAAGAGGCAATTATGTACATGGAAAGAGATAATTAGCCTACCTTAATATCCAATGGTCCCCCATTATCCATCTCTTCCAAGTGTCGAATCTGAGCCGAACTCATTGGAGCTCCTTCTCCTCGAATCTCAATAACTGGAATATTTTCATCCAACCCTCCACTTGGTCGTTTTCTGCCTCCTACGTTTTTCGACGATGCTCCATTGTTCAAACCACAATGAACTGCAAAATTCGGAATTTTTATTCGAAGTGGGAATTCAGAATTTTCCCAAAAATCGATTCAAAATCTTACCTTGAGAAGCAAAAAGAATTACAAATATGAGGAGTAAAGACGTCGTCATACCAATGAATAGGGTCAAGAATAGGAGAAACGAGTGGAACAACCAGGAATAATAATACAGAAAAAAGAGAAAAAAGAGGGGATATGTATATTCTGAGAGAGAAAAAGAAGAGGAAGAGACTTGAGGAGGGGGAACACGACCTTGTTAGATTCCGGAGAAGTAGACCAGTAAAAGAGAAAGAACGGTATTAGAAGAAGAAGAAGAGGGGGATGAGGGTCATTATGTATTTGGAAATATGAGAAGACAATGAGAACACACGGCAGATAAATAGAGATGGGAATCGAGAGTTGAAAAATGATAACATTGAGTTTCTTCGAGAAAGAAGAGCCTGAAATTTGAAAAAAAAGGTAATTTTCAAAACTTAATTGCCTATTTTTTTGAGGATCTGATATATACTTAACTTCAAATGAGGAAAGATTTTTGAAGTATTTTTCAGAGTTTCGGGTTGCAAAATTTTTTTTTAATTTTTTCAATACATTCAAAAAAGTTATTCTCAATATCGCTAGGACATTCAGGCCAATCAATACCAAATCTTATTAGTTCGTGATTCCACATTGTATATGAAAAAGATTTATGCTGTATTTCCTATTAATCGCTTTCAAATAAGATTCCTACTTTGTAGTATTAGGGTGGGGAGAAAGTTTTTTCCGAAAATTTTCAGAACTTTCCCACGGAAAGTTCCTGAGTTTCTAGAGCTTTCCTAGAACATATTAGGGTAGAACGTACTGAAGGCTTTTCCCTTATGCCTATATAAGGCGCACGTGTCCACTGGTAAAACAACCATGAGCGATCTCTCGAGACCTCAAGTTCGGCTCCTCATTTTCTACAAGTGATCCTACGACACCTGTGCGACGGAGATCGCTAAGAAAATATGCCACGTGTTTGGAAAGAGGACCGTCACCGATTGCACCGTCCGCAATTGGTTTGCTTCTTTTGTGTCAGGAGACACGAGCCTCGAAGACAACCCGCACATTATCCAAAACCTGTCGAGTTTGCTGAGCTGCTGCTTGCAGCCGTGGGGGAGAAGCCTGATGAGACTATTCACGAAATGTAGGCAATGTTCCACTGCGACTAACACATCATTAACAATCATCTCCACAGGCTTGGTTTCCGAAGAGTGATGGCTCAACGAGTACCTCGTGATCTCTCTTCGTTTCAGAAACGGACTCGAATGAGTCTATCCTCATTACTCCACAGAGGAAAGAGTTTCTGGCCGACATGTTAACAGGAAATGAGAGCTGGATACTATACAATAATATCACCCATCACGCCATTTGGATTCATCGCGGTGAGGATCCGTCAGGTGCAGCCGAAGAGGATTCCATAAGAAGACGTGTTTGCTCTCGTGCTTCTGGGATTAGAAGGGATTGCTGTTTTTCGAGTTGATCCCGCAAGGAATATCGATCACAGCTTCCACCTACAGGTATCAGTTGGGTTCCCTCGACCATGCCCTCCGAGAGAAACGCCCGAGACGCTCCATCGTTCACCTTCTACGTGATATTGCTCGCCCGCGTGTGACTAAAGACACCCAAGGCCAAACTGCAGGAGCTGGGCGGGACTACGGTATCTTATCTGGAATACTCGCCAGTTATTGTGCTTTTGGAATATCATCTGTTCCGCCCGCTCAAGCAGTTCCTCCAAGAGAAACAGTTCAAAACATTGAACCAACTCAAAATGGCAGTGAGCGTCTTCTTTCACTCTCACACGCCCGAATTCTGGAAAACTGGAATCGAGTAACTTCGATAATGAGAAAGCAAAAAATTTTAAGAAAATTTCGGAAAAAACTTTCTCCCCACCCTAGTAACAAGTATTTACCACTGATTATCTATAGAGATATTGAAATCACAGGTTCCACTAGAAAAAAAAGAAACCCAATATTCAAAAATCACTGTTCCGAAATAAACGTATCTGGACTATTGAATACTTTGAAACAATAGTGGTATGGCTTGAAAATTATTACTCGTCGACTTCACTAAAATCCATCTGAAAGTTCTCAACTAGAATCCAAACAGTCCTTTTTGAAATGCTGAAAACAACTATAAAAATGCTGAAAACAACCACAAATGCAAAAGAAAACTACAATCAATACAACAGAATGAAAAAAAAAGTTCATTCCCTCTCAATTCCTTCAGAAAATATCAAAAAAGTTAGGACTGATTAATTGTTTATCATAATATCAACAATATTTTATCAGTTGACAGATTTTTGATCTTGTGAAAAAACGATATATTTAATTGGGCTCAAAGTGACTGTAGTGTGGGATTATATTAGAGATACGGTATCAACAAATCAGAATAACTCAATAAAAAATTCAAATAAACCTAACTATAAGTTGAGAAAATAATTGAAAATTTAACATGAAGTTATAATATTTTTTGTCTATTCGACTCTGAAAAAAAATCATCTGTTTCAGGAAACTTTATTAATGAACGTTTCTCTTTTTCCTCAATAACCGAACTTTTCTACAAGTAGATGCACCATGTCGTTTTCCGAAATTCACATTTTCTGTCCCGGATTTCTGGTTTCCTGAGAACTGATTGACGGAGTCTTTTGAATCTTTTTTAAACGCTATTTTATTTAAATTTTGATCTAGTTTTCTAGTAAACTTTTTGATCTCTTATTCTTCTTCGACAATCAACACCCGCCGGCCGGCAAAACAGAAATCTTCTTCTTCTTTTTCCCCCCGCAAATGTGCGTCGGTGTGTTTGCGTACTTTCCCCCTCTCATGCTTTTTCAGCACTGATGCCTGCGGCAAGAGCATACGCAGTTGCTCCATAGTGGTCATCGATTTTTGAGATTGTTTTCTTAGATTTGGATTCCTTTTTGTCTAATGAACAACACCTAAACTTGCTAATTCATTAGTAGCGAAATCGATTTTTGCAGAGTAAAAGCGGTGAAATTGGAGCGATTCTGGCGTCTGAAGGCTCTTCGATTCGGCCATCACGATGAGTGTTGGCACACACATCGCTGAGGTCATTCGACAGGGCATTTGGGCCTCGCTCACTGGAGGATGGTACGTTTTTTGAAAAATGGTTTAGTTTTGGATGTGGTTTAAAAGTTTCTAGAATCATCTGAAATTGTAACAGTAGAAGAACTTGGTGATTGGAGTATCTATAGTAACGCTGGTCTTTGTATATAAAAAAAACAAGATCAAAATTCAAGCTAGAATTCAATCAAAAGTTAAGAAAATTGACTGAGGTTGACTGATGTCTGAAACGGATAACATATATTCTGAAAAATCATCAATGAAAAATTATGGAAATTTTACCCACTTTTGATGAGACATAGGGATTGGAGTTTTCAAATTATTCAGAAAATAATTAAAAGAATTGGAAACAGTAATAAAACATGTTCGCAAAAAGTTCGAAAATTGAAACCAAAAATAATGAGATCACATCTGAAACTAGACAACCAGAAAATGTGGAAAAATCTGAGATTTGTATGACATGGAGTCTCACAGTATGGTTACCTACAGTAACACTGATTATTGTAGACAAAAAGTGGAATTTCAAAAAAGCAGAAGTAGTCACAAATTGAAGGTTCAGTTAAAGTAGAAAAAATGAAAAAATTCTGAAACAGATGAAAAAATTTTCTTGAGAATCATCTCGAAGAAGACGAGAAAAAATCTACCTTTCTTGATGAGACATGAGTCATGATGAAACTAGGGCATCAGAATTTCCAAATTTGAAACAAAAATTAGAAGAATTTGAAACAGTAATTTGAAAATTGGAATTTTTTGGCTGAAATTTCAAAAATTGAAACTATCTTAAAGTAAATCCCGTCATTCGAAACTGGGCAATAATAAAATGTATCTAAAAAACTGGAACTAGTAGAATTTTTTTTCAAAAATCTTATTAATAAAATTCAATCGCCTATAATTGAAAAAATCATCAAACTAGAAAAAAATTTGTATACCGTAAACCGTGTAATAGAAGAGCTCCCAACTGTTACATAAATGATTGAAAGTCTCGCAATCAGTGGTTTGTAGTGACTCGCTGCTGTTGAAAAGAAAATTACCGTAAAAATGTAATGAAAGGGCCCTTACACTGTCAAGTTTGAGCTCATTTATCTTGATTCCTATGAGAGATATCAAAAATAAGTCAACTAACAAAACACTTCTGATATTATGATCAACATTTTATCAGTTCACCACTTTTTGATATCTTTGGGAGGAACCGAGATAATTGAGCTCAAACTAGACAGTGTGTGGGTCTTTCTATTAAGGTTTTACGATAGTTTGAATTCCAAGTGAGTCTGATATAGATTCTCGAAATATTTTAGAGGTTTGATCTTTTTTTTGTTTGGCTAGTTCTGATAAGGGGATCTAACTATTGCTAGCTTCAATGTTAGAAATATTTTCAAAACATTTCGAATTATTTTAATTACTGTTTCAAATTCTTATAATTATTTGCTTCATAATTTGGAAAATCCAATCTTCATGTGATAATTCCTGTTCCAACCGATCAAAAGTCTCCATTTTCAGGTACTATGAACCGGGTTTCTCAATATTCTGTAACACACTCCATCTATACGTCTGGTTTGTTCTTATCATTCTTCCATTGGTTCTCGGAATCGTCACAACGAATGGAGTCTCCCTTGTGTTTGCTGCTGCTTACACTGCATTCATTGCCTTCTTCTTCACTGTTATCAAGGTAGGATTTCAAATGTTTTCAGAAAAAAAAAAACTTTTCCGTTTCAAAAAAAAAAAAATTATTTAGATGTTGGTATGATTTATTGACAATGAAGCTTCAAAATTTCATCTAGAAACAAAAATCAACAAAATCATTTTCCAGAGCGCCGTTGCATATCTTCACCTGATATTCGATACGACTGATCCGGTAGTTGTGACAAGACCACTCAGCGATTCTGTGGAAGATGTATTCAGAGAAGTGTCTGAGCGTGAGTATTTTTTCATGGATTTTTCTAGAAGTTCCGGATTTACCGTCAACACTCTCATAGGACGATTCTCTAACTTTGAACTTTGAGCTAATTTATCTCGGTTCATGTGAAAGATATCAAAAAACTGTCAACTGATAAAATATCGGTGATATTATGATAACTATTTTTTTACGTTGACAGATTTCTGATATCTTTTGAAGGAATCGAGATAATTGAGCGAACTGTAATGAGACAATCTTTAAAATCTAAAAAATCCCAAAGTTTCAGCACCTCCACTCCACGATGTCGAAATGATTGAACTTCGCGATATGGGATACAATTTGCGCGGGTCTGAAAGAGCATTGGATCCAAGACGAGAGACAAGTGTTCGAGAAGAAATCGCTGCGAATATGGCGAGAATTCGGAGGAATCAGGAGATTTGTGATTATGTGGCTAGTGGCGCTGCGTCCAGAGAAAGTGAGTTGCAAGTTTTTTACAAATTCAAAAGTGGCATTTGAATCTTGACAGATTTTGGAAGTACTTCAATAGAAACAATACAATAGCACAACCGGGTGGGATTCAAATTGAAGTCTTAAATTAGCAAAAACTTAAGAAATTCACATCCGATCATACGTTAAACCGGCCCCTCCTATAGTTTCTTTTAGAAAACAAATCTTTCTGGGCCAACTAAATTCATAGAACTCGACGAGTACTACAAAATGAACTTATTTGGGAAACTATAACTTGTCTATGAACAAAGTTACAAGCCATGAAACTGTCAATCCTGGTCCTGGCGACTTTTTTAGATTGTTTTGACTGTAACTTTGTTCATAAATAAGCTACAGTTTTCCAAATAGTATCTTTTGTAGTACTCGTCGATTTCTATCATATCTCATTTAGTTGGTCCAAAAGTATTGATTCCAAAAATAAATATTGCCCGGTTTACAAGTAAACTTTAAAAGAATTTTACTGTTTCAAAAGTAGCATTTGAGTCTAAAATTACTCAGGTTACATTGATAATCTAGGATATATAATACTTTTTAGAAACCAATGAACCTTTAAAATTTTCCTTAGATCATATTCAAATTCTGTTTTTCAGACCAGGCCACTTCGGCTCCACACGGTCCCACTACATCGAAATTTTGGGATTTTGGTGAGCAAACTTTTTTAAAACTTTTTGTTGTTTTCGTTTTTTTCTTGTCGTGGCACTAAATCTTTTAGTGGTTTTTGGTTGATGGTTACCGTTAAACCTGTATTAGAAGTGCACCCACCCTGTCAAGTTTGAGCTCTATTATCTCGATCTCTATGAAAGATATCAAAATATTGTTAACTGATAAAAAACTGGCGATGAATATTTCATCAGTTGACACATTTTGATATCTTTCACAGGAAATGAGATAAATTAGCACAAACTTGACAGTGTGAAAGCCTTTCTATTACAGGTTTCTACGGTATTTGGTATCAGAATGTTGTGAATTTTTGTGTAATTTTCGTCGTTTGGTCATTTCTTTGCTTAGCGTAGAACTTCAATTTTGAAAGAATGTTGTTCACTTATTTTGGTTGTGGAGATGTGTTTTTAACTTCTTCCTAATCAGTGCACAAGTCTAAAACTTTCTAACCTAAGCACTTGACCTAATTTCGAAAATCATACAAAAGTCACACATTCCAGTTGCCTCCGACACTACAATCATCCAAAATCTACATCCAAATGCGATTGCACATGTTAAAAATATATTAAATACTATTGAAGATGAATCGACGGAAACTGAATCTGAACCGACGTCGACGAATCGACAAGCGATCGAAATCAACAAGAACCCATACACCAAAGTTCGAAGCCGATCCACATCTCCACCTACAGTAGTCGCCACACCGAAACGGAAAAGATCCATGCCATCGAGTCTGAGAAAACGTTTGGAAGCTCAAGTGGACGAGGAAGAGGAGGATAAGAAGCCATCCACATCATCAGGAGTCAGAAGACGTTCCGATCCAGACTTCTTCAAAGAGAAATTGATTCTTCCCGAAGAGCCAAAAGAAGAACGATCTCCACCTCGAAAAACAGTCCAGAAGCAGATGCATGAAAGATATATCAGAATCATTCGAGAAATGAAAGAACAATCTGAAAGGGAGAAAAAGGAAAAGGAGGAGTTGGAAGAGGAGGAAGAAGAAGAGGAAGATGAAGGGGAAATTGATTATAATCAGCCATCAACGTCATCTACAGTTCCATCAAGTAGTAGACGTCCTTCTAGAAGACGTTCTTCCACTGGAGCCACCAATCGGAAGAGGAAGTATAGTAGAAGAGCTGGATCACCGGCTGTTTTTGCGGGGACTTTGATAAAAAAGGTAGGTTTAAAATAAAATGAAACTTTCCGTGAAAAGTGGGTAGAGTCCGGGGCGGAGCCTAATCGCAAGGTGCATACGGTTTTTAGGTTCCGCTCCTGCCTCCGTCTACTTTCAAGAAATGTTTTTCTCCGAATTTTTGGGGCCTCCGAATCTTCGATGATTTCTTTTTTTTTAATTGCTGTATTGTTTCAAATAACTTTCAGCATAACTAATCTAGCGCTCATCCTAATTTTTTCTTGACAGGATTCTCACGAGTCGTCCCGAAGCATGCCAACCTCTGTCGGATGGACTCCCGTCGTTGTCTCTCTCGGAGACGTAGACCGCCCGACGACGTCTCGATACTCTGCAGATGACGCTGATAATGGAGCAGATATTCGTGGAGAAATCACCAAATTCCTTGAGGATCTCATTGATAAACATCCCGAAACCCTGGATGCTATTGAGAACGTCCGAATGAGTCGCCTTGGAAGAGGACGTCCAAGTTCAGAATCTCATGAATCTGCACCAATAATTGAACTGGCTTCATCATCCCAACCGAGCACCTCAGCGGGACCATCTACTTCGACAGCTCATCAGAGTTTGGTCGTGTCACTCATGGAATCTTTGCGGTTCCTCATGTACTAAGGAATGCTGCGTGAGTTTTCAGAAAAAAGAATTCTGATGCAAAAAGAACGTTTTAGAAGGTCGAATTCATTCATCGACTGGCATGCTCATTCCCAAGTAGTGTCCACTAGTCAACATCATATTGCTCAAGGACACGAAGACACTTCTCAAGGAGCAGTTCACACATTTCAGGATGAGGAAGGCAATTGGTGGACGTATACTTTCGATGAGAACTGTGAGTTTTTTTTTCTGTTTCAGCAAATTGTCTTTAATAGTAAGTTATAAAATAAAGCGATGGTGTACTGCGTGCGATATTCCACGAAAATCATTTCCAAATCAAAAGATTCCTTGAATTCTGAAAATTCGAATTTCAGCCGGCGTTGGAACAGCTCAACCTCTCGGATCAGGTCGTGCAGTCTTGGAACTAATCCATCGTGAACGAGAGAAGCATCCAGAAACCGCTCGGAAACTCTTCCCACCTGGAGAGCTAGAAGTGCTTGCCGAGAGTATGTACGATTCGACGGAAGATGAGAAAGGAGAGAAGACGTCGGATGAAGAAGAACATCCGAGACCGCGACCTCCAACACCAGCTGTAACGATGCCATCAACGAGTAACAGTCAGACACAGACGGTGCAGCTGCCATTGACACGGAGGGAAAGGGCTCTTTCGAGTTCTAGCAATGAGTCGAGTACCTATATGCCGACACTTCCATCCAGTGTATTTCATGCACCGAGTGGCACTAGAGCCACTAGACAATCGTGAGTTATTCATCCAGCCCTAGATTACTGCCCATTGGAGTCCAGTTTAGAGTCAGTAGCAATGTGACAAGTAGGAAACAGTAACAGATTTTTAAAAAGCTAGCTTGATTTTTTGAAAGAAGTTTTAGATCAGTTTTTCAAGACATAAGATTCTGAAATTCTGAAATTTTAAGGTTCCGAGGTTCTGAAATTCGGCAATTTTCAAATTTCAAGGTTTAAAAATTGAAATTCTCGGTTTTTTAAATTCTGAGATTCCGAAATTCTGATATTCGGAATTTCGAAGATTCTGGATTTCTGAAACTCTGAAGATCTGAGGTTCTGAAAATAAAGGTTCAGAAATTCTTACAATTCGATTCTGAGTGAGATTCTGGGATCCACTGATTCTGATATTCGGAAATTCTGAGATTTTGAGTTTCTGAGATTCTAAGATTCTGAGATTCTGAAATTCTGATATTCTGAAATTCTTACAATCTGCACTTTTGATATTCTGAGATTCTTAAGTGGTGAAATTCTGAAATTCTGGGGTTCATAGATTCTGAGATTTCTGGATTCCGAAATTGTGAGAATCTGAAGTTTTTAAATTCTATGATTCGAAAGTTCGTAGATTCTGAGATTTTTGAATTGTGAAGTTTGGAAATTCTGAAACTCTGAAACTTTCAAAATAGGAATACTCCGAAATTCCGTAATTCTGAAATTTTGGGTTTCTGAAAACCTAAAATTCGGAGGGTCTTCGTGAGTTTTGAGATCATGAGAATCAGAGATACTGAAATCCTGAAATGGTCAACTTTTTTACAAAAAATATTTTCAGCTCAACTCGTGGCAGCCAAGTCGTTTGTTTCTCTGCAACTGGTAATTCTCGTCTCCGAAACACAAATCGCGACGGAGATGATCGATCGGCGGAGAGTATTTGGCAAATGGAGCAAATCATGGAGCTCATCGAACAGACACACAATCGACGAAGCCTCGGACCCGAGCTCCCCAATCTTCCGTTATCCAGTGAGGCCGTTCTAGCGTTTTTGGGTCCAGACGAAGATTACTGTAATCTTCCAGGCATAATGGATCGTCGTGCATCATCGAACATCCGAAAAAGCTATTATTATCCGATGAAAATCATGTTTCCAAAGGCTCAAAGTTTCAATTTGAAAGTGGATCGAATGAGTGTGGATCGTCTGTTCGATCGAAACCATACAATTTGGTCGTTGATTTTTGACATTGTCCTAGCAACTACAGTATCCCTGCTTGCCGTTCTTGTTATTGATGCTCGAATATTCTATGATTATTCCCTAGTGGCATTCTGTTTTGTCGTTGCGTCCGCTCAGTTTTCCCTTCTGAAAAGTGTCCAACCAGATGCATCATCTCCAATTCATGGATTCAATTGGATTGCCAGCTACAATCGACCCATTTATTTTTGTATCATGGCTCTTGGATTACTGTATGTTCATCATGTGGCTGATGGAAAAAATGCGGATGAGAATCAGGACGAGCTGATGTGGAATTGGAATCCGTTTAGGTTAGTTGATGAATTTTGCATTTTACAATTGGTCATCGTAAAGCATGTAAAACCTGTGATAGAAGGAACGTCGTACTGTCACGTTTGTGCTCGATTATCTTGGTTACTATAAGAGATATCAGAAACGCGTCAACTGATAAAATGTTTTGGAAATTATGCTCAGGAAATGTATCAGTTGAAGACGTTTTCATATTTTTAACAGGAACCAAGATAAATTGGCTCAAAGTAAATAGTTAACAACAAGCCCTTCTATTACAGGGTTTACGGTAACCGCCAAAGTTTTTAATCCGTGCATTTTTTGCAGATTCTATATGATGCCCAACTCATCAATTCTAATTGCACTCCGTGATCTCTTTTCGATTCTTTTGCTCCTCCTCCCAGTTGCCTTTACACTTGGATGGCTTCCCCAATTCAATACTTTGGCTCATCACGTCGCCGAACAACTTGAGATGCACATTTTTGGAGGAACAGCTTCTTTTAGCGTCTTCTCGGCATGTGTCCAGCTGGCGAAAAGCTCGTGTTTCTATGTGGCTCTTTGTGTCTTGTGAGTTCTTTCGAAGTTCTAGTATTTTTTTAACTCGGGAATTCCAGATGCCGATTTGCCTACACATTCTCCCCGAACTCCACTCAGAATCCTATGTTTTCTGCATTCGTGGCTACAAGTGTTGCCGTTTCATATCTGCTCTCCAGAATGTCATCTAATCAGAATCTCACTGTGATTCTTTTCGATATTCTGATAGCTCCGTTCCGAAAGAAATCAGAAGAAGAGGTGGAAGAAGAAGAGGCTGCGGCGAACACACCGTCCATTTCAACGGCAAGAGATGAAATGCCAAAAATGGTTAGGAAGACAGTTGGAGAACGAGCAAGATACGATTTGATATTCTCGATTTTCTTGATCGCATTCTTTTTTGGACTTCACTCGACGTCGCTGTTCACTGCGACCCAACCATATTTCACGGTGAGAAGTTGATGAAAATTTCAAATATGGAGAATTATTTGTATTGTTTTTACTAAAAGTCCAAATTTTAGGTGGATGGAACAGTGATTTTTGTTGGATTATTTCTAGATCATCGGATTACAGTAATTCCAACCTTTTTTCATTTTCGATCCGTTAAGAACTTCAGATGTCCTTGATATTTGTTTCTAGGGCTTCTCTAGTTTTCATCAGTCCAAAGACCTGTTATTAATCCATGAAAAAAAGATTATGTACTCCTTTATGAGCCTTTCCTGACGTCAACTTCATTCTTAAAAACCATGAGCAAATTACTATAAAAATTGAACAAAAAACTAACAAAGTTTGACAGAAATCAACACAACTACAGTAATACAAATAAATGGGAATTCCAAAAAAAATTTCAGTCTATCGTAACCCAAACTTTTTTTTTCAAATTTCGAATGACAAAAAATTAATTCGATTTTTCGTTACAGTATGCCATCACCGGAGTTTGCGTCTTTTTCGGTGTCATCAACCACTACCTGTTCCCCCAATTCCGATCTCATACACCATGGCGTGCCGTCTCTTCCCCGTTGCTCAAATCTGCTGAACACTCTCAATTCGAATCTCCAGAAGCCGCAAAACTAATGTATTTTGAAGCGATTCATCTGTGGATGGTGGCCATTGAGCGGAATATCGTGAGTTGTTTTTCTTCATCTAGGATCTAGGACCATCATATTTTTGCAGGCATATCCCTTGCTAATCATCTCCATAGTAACCGAGAACAGTTGGACAGTTCCATTCCCTTGGTTCATCCTTCCTCTCGTCTGTCTACGTCTTCTTCGTGGTGGATTCTCTCAACCACAACTCATGTACATTCCAGTTGGAGTCGCTTTCCTTGCCGCTGCTTTTGATCTCAAACATGTCATTGATATACAGTATGATGGAAAGGTAGAAATCATTTTTTAGAATTTACAGAATTCTCAATTTTCAATTTTCAGTCCCTGACTTCCTGGAATCTCTTGCCCATTATTATGTACATCTGTGTCTCGTTCTATCCAAAAGTTGTGGAGCTGTATCTGAAAATCGCCTTCATTGGAGCATATGTGGCTCCATGGCAAATCAGTTGGGGAAGTGCATTCCATGCTTTTGCGCAACCATTTTCGGTTCCCCATTCAGCGTTGATCGCTATCCAAACTGTCATTTCGAGTATCATAAGTGCCCCACTGAACCCATTCTTAGGTATGTCATATGCTCTTCTATTTTGCTAAGGCTTTTCAAAAGACCTTTCTACTGAGAAACTCATCTAATACATGCTTTATCTGAAAAACCAATTTCCAGGATCCTCATTCTTCACCTCATCCTATGTTCGACCTGTCAAATTCTGGGAGAAAGACTATAATACGAAACGAACAGATGCCTCGACGATGAGACTTTCATCGCAAATCGATCGAGGACCAATGATGGATGACAGTAATCTGAATGCAGTTTTCTATGAGCATTTGACACGGTCTCTACAAAAAAGTCTTGCTGGAGACTTGGCAATGGGGAGATGGGCAACGAGTGTTCAACCAGGAGATTGTTTTGTGTTGGCGAGGTGAGGGAATATGACTGATATGACCTAGATCTAATTTTCGTACTGCCTAGGATTTTTAACACGGAATTATTAGCATATCGCTTAAGACTTTTTAAAATGGTTTTATTTCGAAAAAAATTGACAAATGCAAAATTTAGGTCATCCATAAAGTTTGATGATTTTGTTAAACTGAGATTCGGAGGCATTCGAGTAGTTTCAGATAATCGGAGATCATGACACTGATATTTTGGAGTTTCTGAAATTGGGCGATTCTAAAATTCAAAAAAAAAATTCTGGAATTATGATATTACGAAATTCTGAAATTCTGAGGCTCGGAATTTGAGAGATTCATTTTTAAATTCTGAAAATCTGAAAATCAAAGACCGGCACTCAAAAAAGAAAACATTTAGGAATCACCAGTATTTTCACACTTTACTGATGAAGGTATTCGATTACTTTGCAATTCTGAAATTCTGAATTCTGAAAAAAAAATCTAGGTCAGCCACGCAGTTTGATGGGTAAAAACAGCATCACAATGTTTGTTTAAAGAAGACAAAAACTGCATATTCTTTTTCAATTTTCGAAACTTTTTCTTGTCAAAATTTATATGTTGTTGTCGTTGCACAATACAAAATTATTAATATACACACTTTCATTGAAAAAAATGAAAAAAGGGAAAGACAGATGAACGTTCGACGACTTCTACTCCTTCTTCTCCTCCTCTTTCTTATCGTCGTCTTTCTTTTCATCGTCCTTCTTTTCGTCCTTTTTGTCATCATCCTTTTTGTCGTCGTCCTTCTTATCACCATCCTTCTTATCACCATCCTTCTTGTCTCGTTTTGACTTTTTGGACTTGTTGGACTTCTTTGACTTCTTAGACTGTTCCTTTTTCTCATCCTTCTTCTCATCTCCCTCCTTCTTATCATCCTTCTTCTCCTCATCCTTCTTATCACCGTCCTTCTTCTCCTCATCCTTCTTTTCACTCTTCTTCTCACTCTTCTGGGACTTCTTCTCATCTCCCTTCTTCTTATCACCGTCCTTCTTCTCATCCTCCTTCTTATCATCCTTCTTTTCCTCGTCCTTCTTTTCCTCGTCCTTCTTGTCTCCGTCCTTCTTTTCATCCTCCTTCTTCTCCTCATCCTTCTTCTCTCCTTCCTTCTTCTCCGACTTCTTATCACCGTCCTTCTTTTCACCGTCGGCTGGAGCAGCGGCAGCGTCGGCTGCTGGAGCAGCGGCAGCATCTGGAGCAGCAGGTGGAGGTGGAGCGGGAGCTGGTGGAGGTGTCATCTTGGAGGCAGACTTTGCAGGTCTGAAATAGAACAAATAGGAAATCTTCTAGAACACTTGTTTCTGTTAAACTCACGGTGCTTTCTTCTTTCCTCCACATCCAATCATTACGGCGATTGGGCCGACCAGTAGCATGGCTAGGTGCAGGTAGTCGAACGGGTTCATCGTCGTTCCGCCGAGTTTATGCGTTCTGTGCTTGTATCGAGTGTGTAGATTCGAAACTGAGACGTTTCACTGACACTTGGCCACTTTTATGCCGCCCCTCTTATCAGTGTTCCAGATCTCTTTTTTGGAATTCAGGATAGTGGGGGGGGGGGGGGGGGCACGTTACATGCACAAATGTTTGAGTTGAAGAGGGTTTCGGTATTAAATGTGAAACACGATACACTTGATAATAGGTCACTGAAACAGAAAAATATTGGGAACGGATAAATGAACAGAATTTCGCAAAAAGATTTTAAAAAAATATATAATTTCATTATTGGACTACTGTAGGAGATATTGCAATTTTCCCCCCGTTGACCCCCTTTTTCCAATAGTCTCTAGGATTTTCAGAAAATCATACTTTCGTCATCTCAATTTTTAGGATCTTCAATATTATTTCTTGTATCAAAAATTGTTCAGAATGTGAACTGTTGAAATTATGAAATTCTGAAGTTGTGAAATTTTGAGATTCTGGTATTCTGAAAATCAGTTCTTCTGAAGATATGGAATCTTGAGTTTCTGAACTTCTGAAACTCTGTAATTCTGAGTTACTGATACTCTGAAGTCCTGAAGTTCTGAAATTTCGTGATTCTGAGATTCTGAGATTACGAAAGTCTGAAAATCTGAAAATTTTTAATTCTGAAATTCTTTTATTTTGAAAATCTGGAAGTTTGAGATTCTGAATGTCTGAAATATTGATATTCTGAAGTTTCGAGATTCTGAAAGTCGAAGAAAAATACTCGAACATTTTTTTCTGATTTTTTTACTGTTACAAACCTTCTGTTAGTAATCGGCAGTATTTTCCCACTTTGCTGCTCCTCGGACTATTATATTTCGGCTGGATACAAAAAAATCAAATTCGGGAAAGCTTCAATTTTTAGTTTCCTATAAAACTCTGGTGCTGAAACCATACATGTCAAGAATTCCTAGAGTTAAGGGTTAACGACCAAAATACATTTTCTGTGTTAGTTTACTGACTCGCAAACTGATCACGATAGATTCCTCCTATGATTTTACACATGATACACACTAATTGCAAGAAAGCTTGTCAAAATTGAGCCGTTAAAAAAATTGACGAGCTGCATTACAGCTGGACATAAGATTTCAAACATTTATGGCTGAAACCTCTTTTCTATTACAAACGCAACTATTCTATTAAGATTACGTTCGTCTTATGTACAATCTGTATAATCCGCAACTCAAAAATAATTTTTCAATATCGAATGAACCTTGAACAACAGAAACAGTATCTTCAAAAAAGTAGCACAATATATATATATCCCGGAATTTACTTTTTTTCAGTTTTTATCTCAACTCTCTGGTCCACATCATCGAAGTCGGCAACGGATTCGTCACTTTCCAACTGCGTGGTCTAGATTCCGCGGCACCTATTGTCACCAGAGAGAAGTCGAAGCGATCACAGAAGACATTCGAGATGGAAGTGGATTATGTTGTTGTTCTCCTGGATCTCTTCCTGGGTTCTTATCATTCAACACTTCATGGAATCTCAGATGGTTGGCTTGGGAAGTGGTATCCGGAAAGTATATAATTGATGGATACAGTATTTCGGATAACTCGGCTGTCAATTTGTTGCAGGTGGGAACTAAAAGATGTTTCAAATACAATCAAAAGTTATTCAGGTTCATGAACTCCGTCGATTATTGGTAACCCTTTACATTAAATGCATCATCTACTATACATTCAAATCCAATAAACTTCGACTTTGGATGCAGAGTGAAGCGGTTGCAGTTTGGATCAAAACTGTAATCGAGAAACAAGACTACACGGATGTCGATTCAATATTTTGTCCAACAAACGACGAGGATTACGATAATGGACAATCGGGAATCTCTAGAGCAAGTTTCAACAACGTCTACGCCACATGGATGAGTTATTGTTCTGAAAAACGAAAGGAGACGGCACAGGATGAAAGGTCGGTTTTTTTTTAAATTTCGTAATTCAAAGAAGAGATCTGAATTTAATTTTTCAGCGAAGACCTCAATGAATCAATGGCATTCTGTTATCTTCTATCACTTGTTGGACGCCGATCTCTTGGAACCGCATCGTATAATCGACATTCGAGTGCTGCTGAATCGTTCCTGTATGGCCTTCACTCGCTCTTCAAGGGAGATTTCAGGTAGGTATTGATTTGTCATCTTATTCCGTAATTATTAGATGAGGTATTATTTTTGTTAGTTTTCAAGAGCTTTTGAAACTTCTTTTTTTTCAAAACCAATCGTTTCCAACTTCGCAATAAATTTTAAAGGGGGGACTCCGACCAAAAATTTTTATTGCCTTAAAATGCTACAAAAATATGTATTTACATAATATAATATGTGAACACATATATATAATATCCTACCTCCCCGAAAAAGGCAGCTCAAGATTATATGATTTGATTTGACCAGTTTTGAGCATTTTTTCAAGATTCGGACGGCTCATAATCGACCGTTCTCGTTCTGTCTGTGGTGGAGCTGTTAGGGTGACTGGGGCAGCAATGGAATCGTCGAGTGGAGGACGACATTTGGGATGGAGGACAGAGACACGGGCGGTACCGTCTTTTGTCATTTCAACGATTGAGTTCTCGAGCTGAAATCAGTCAGAGCATAAAATAGAGGAAGTCAAGAAACACATTTCTCATGAAACAACAATTCCCGAAATTTCTACTCACCCGTCTTCCTTGTCTAGGAGTTGTCATCGTTAACACAATCATCTCCTGATCTTCATCTG